TCACGCCTACTGGTACGGATGGAGAAAAGACGTGGTCGAATATGTGCGGGAATGTGCTATCTGCAGTGGAGGCAAGGGACATAGACCTTGGAGGGATGACTTAGTGCAACGCATGCTGGTCCAAAGGTTATCGGGGCCGTTCTCGTTGTTAGTGGTGGATGCTGTTGGACAACTGGTCGTTACGCCAAGGAGGAACAAGTACATCCTAGTGTTTGTGGACTACTTTACGCGATGGGCTGAAGCTTTCGCGGTCGCCTCGCTGGATACTATTTTTTTCGTGAGCGTAATGATAGAGGGGTAATTAGTCGGCATGGCGTTCCGGAACGCCTATTGAGCGATCGTGGAACCAACTTCACGTAGGACTTGGCCAAGTCACTATACCAGACACTGGGTATCAAGAAGTTGTATGGCGCTGCAAATCTCGCACAAACACAGGGCCTCGTGGAACGATTCAACGGAACGCTGATGGGCATGTTAAGGATGCTCGCGAGCGAGACGCAGACTGACTGGGACGTGTACCTGCCACGGGTTCTCTTCGCGTACAGAACGGCTTACCACGAGCTCGGAGACACGGCGTTCTTCAGTTTGTATGGGCGTGACCCCGTATTACCGATTAACTTGGCGTTCCTGAACACGGGCAAAGACTGGAAGAGCAACGAAGTCGCGGTGTATAGGAGGAAACTCTACCTTTCGCTACGTGACTCGCGTCGACTCGTGGAAAGGCAACTTCTCAAGGCCCAGGACCGGCACGAGCAGCGGCTTGACAAACAAGTGAAAGTGTCGTATGAGGAAGGAGATGCAGTTTGGGTGTAACAGTTCTTCCGAGCGTGCGCCGGGGAACGCCGAACCAAGAAGCTAGCGTTCTCCTGGCACGACATGTACCGAGTAGTCGGCCAAGTCGGGGAGAACGCCTATAAGATCGCGAACCCCACGCACCCCAACCGGATCGTCACGGCGAATGTAAATCGCCTGAAACGATTCCGTGGTCGTTGGAGTAGGCCGTTCGCGGATGAGAGGCCTGAAGAAGCCGAAGAGAACACCTCCGAAGATGGAACGGGTCCGCTGCAAGAAGGAGACCTTCCTCCGACCAGCTTTGTGGAACGCTTGAATGTGGGTGGAGAGGAAACTGCCTTTTCGGGAGTATCGTCGCCCATAGTGGATGTGTTGGCCAAAAGGGTGGAGAAACGCGAGTTTAGTATTTGGTGCTCACGGCAACGTATGAGACGTTTTGGCTGTCTCGAGCGGCTATGGCGCCCGAGTTTGGAACACTGATTCGTGCTTTCAAAGATGCAGACCGCCGAAAAAGGGGTCTGCTGGAATTACGTCGGAACGCCAGGTTGGTAGAAGCCAACGCCGACGTAGACAACGCTGAGATACTATTCTAGCAGGGAAAGTCCTGTTAGGATGAGTGGGGTCAGGGACTGCACGGGATGAAGTGGAGAGTGCGAGGGACCTGCGAGGTTTCTGCGCAAAGCGTGGTGTCTGTGTTTTAGTTTTACATTTTTGGATACTTTCAAGTTGGTTCAGTGGTGGAACAGCTCGACGGCGTCGGAAGGAGGACAAAGTGTTCGGCTGGTGGAACGGGTTGGTGATGGAGCGCTGTGAGTAACGAAGAGCGGTTGCAAAAAGGCGTGGGAAAAGAAGGAGGGAGAAGTTCGGAGGACATAAATACGAAGTTCAAGAAAGATCGCTATGAGAAGTGCGGAGAACATGAAGACGAGGTCCAAAGAAGGAACGCAACATTAAGTGTTAAAAAGAACGGCACAAAGGACGCGAAACTGGAACGTCGTAGCGCTACTTGCTGGAGGACTCCTTGTCGTCTTCATAATCTTCGTCGTCCTCAGCGTCGTCTTCACTCGAGACCTCTTCTTCTTCTTCTTCATCATCGTCGGGATCTTCAACCTCGTCGGCCGCCGCTTTCTTGCCCGCCGCTTTCTTGCCCGCCACAGGAGACGATGGCTTCTCATCGTCGTCATCCTCGTCGCCGTCTTTGAAGTCGGACCAGTCGTCGCGCTCGATCTCGGCGCGAGTCGGTGCGCCGACACAGGGGATCTCATAGAAGCCTTCGATGATCTAAGCCGTTATCAGGTCTTGGACCTGCTTGACCGTGTAGCTGTTGACGATCGACTTCCACGGCTCGGCCGACCGATCTTCGACCCAGGCGTCTTTGGGCCGTACGCTAGACATGATGTCCTTGCGGATGCGAGCCAGTACCGCTATCGTGAGACGGTTCTTCTCGTCCGCTGCCGGGTTCAACGCTTCGGTAGACTCCAAGAAGACGCGCATGCTGGGGTATCCATAGGCGTCTATCTTAACGGGATCCAAAGCGTTCTCAATGGTCGCGTCGTACCTCTTCCTGATACTTCTCGCGAAGAACGGCTACGTCGTCAGCGACGGGCCCATCGTACTTACGCGCCTCACGAGAAAAATGACTGGGTTGCCCTCCCAATCAGAAAATCTCGGGGTGCTGGTCCAGCTTCTCCATGAAGTCGTAGAAACCCCAAGTCTCGATACACGTGCTGGTGAAGGCGAGACGAGCTTGGAAGGCGCGCATCTTGAGCTTGCGCCGATTAGATTGAGCCGTTCCGGGCTCGAGCGGAGCGTGGAACGCCCACTCCCAGAAGGCGCGACGATTCGCCATCCAGAACCGCCAATGGGCGCGGAGCAGATGCCGGTACTTCTTGGAGTCGTAGTAGAGCGTTATGCTCGACTAAGGGAACGCTAGGCACCACGGTTTCTTGCCGGCTTCGGCCGCCTTCGCCAGAACGGCTAGGATTGCCTTACACACAGGAGCGGGGGCCTTAGCGCTCAACTCAAGGAGGTCGCTGAAGTCCTCGGCAGGAACGTGGGCCGCTTTCTTGCCCTTGCCAGTGAAACGCTTCTTCTTGGCCGGCGACTTGGTGGCCGAGTCTTCGCTCGCCTTGCGCTTGGAACACTTACGAAGCTTGGGCGACGACGAAGCACCGCTGGAAGTCGACGAACCTGGTAGAGGAGGGAGGATCACCACAGGACCCTAGAGAGTAGCCGCCGCGTCGCCGTTGAGGACGTTTTAAACCGGTTGCTGCAGGTGGACCAGACCAGACGACTGCGGGTTGCCGCCGAGACGCGACAATAGGTCGTCGAAGAACGCCTCGCTGAGGACGCGGGCGTCGCTGCCGAACGTGCCCAGCTCGTCCTGTTCCAGAGCTGCGTTCAGAAACTGGCGGACCTTCTTTCGCTCTGCCGAAGTGAACCGTGTGGACATGGCGAAGGAGCGAAGTGTTGAGGAAGAGGAGTGTTGCCTCGGGGAGGAGATTGAGTAATGAGGAGTTACTGGAATGGAGTTTCAGCTTGATGGCTGACCTTGGAGTGCGTGCGGGTTGCGACCGTGGGAAGCGGCGTCGAGAAGGGAGCGGTCTAATGGGAAGTGACCCAAAGAGGAACGGTCGACCTTTCAGGGAATGGGGATTGCCACTTGAAGATCGTCGGGATCAATGAGTGATTAGGTTACCTGGAGGGAAGTGATGTCTCCTCTAACGTGGGTCGAGGACAGCACCGAACTGAAGCTCGTAGGTAGTGCTGTAGGGGGCATCGTAACGTGGGTGATAGCCGCGTCGCTGCGGAACGTCTCGTGGGCGTTCCTGGCGGAACAACGTGCAAGCGGTCTACTTCTTCTTCTACACGTGCGGCGACCGGTTTGTAGGGGCGGCCCGCGCTCGCGACGTCTCTGTTGACCCTGGCCTTCCTGATTCCGATAGCTGTGCTGAGGGACTACGAGGAACGCTTTGGGATCGTGGGACGCCTCTGTTTGAAGTGATGCGAGGCGTTCCATCACTCCTGGTGTCTGTTCTTACCTGAAACGGCACGGCTACTGTGGGCAACCACCGGAAGGTACGCACGAGCTATGAAGGAAGCTACTGTTGCTGTCGCTGACAGAATAGGTGACATCGTCGTCGGTGGGTACCTGTTGACGACGCTGCTCCTGTCTATCCTGATCTACGTACCGCGAATGGTGTATGAAGGTACTGAAGGAGTGCTCCATCGTTGGATGGGCGTGGCTTTGGTGGTGTTAATGGTGGACGTCTTCATGGAGTTCTCTACGTGGTGCTGCTACTGGAACGCCTCACTACTGATGATCGGCTGTTACAGCCATTTGATTCGCTACTATTGGGGGCTTCGGGTCGACAAGGAACGAGGGTCAAGGGTGAGAGCCAAGCAAGGCTGGGAAGGGCTCGCTGAACGGATTGGACGACGCGAAGAACGCGAACGTGTCAGCGTGGCCCGGTTGCGAGGTATTAAGGATCAAGGAACGCCTTCTCCGGTCGAGAACGCGAGTCCTGAACATACTGGAGCGCCTCAGGGAGGCGTTCCGAATGAAGTGGCTGATGGTACCGTGGAACCCCTGTCGGGCAAGGAGGCTCGGCGAGGACACCGAGTGGTAGTCGGGGAGAATTGTCACGGTACACAGCTAGAAGGAGGACTCGTCATTCTCTCGGACCGCGTTCGGAAGATCTGCTTGCTGCAGAAGTCGCAGGCCACGTCCACGCAACTGTGCTCTCCGGCCCAATCGGCGGCGTTCCAAGCTTAGAGTGGAACGCCCGGCCGTCGACAGAGGTGGGAATTTCCGTTGGACCTCTACGTGGGAGCGATTTACACAAAGGTAAGGAGCTTTGTGCTCAGCTGGGAGCTTTAGGTAGAATCTCAGTCGTGATTTTCCTTCGTTCAAGAGAAGTGCTCAAGAATACAAACAACAACTTTACATTTACGTGATAAACCTAAGTTCCTACGTCGGCCTGCTAGATACACGACCCCGACCTAAGGAGGATTACTGCGACAGATTACACCTTTTTATTTAAAGTGTTGTGTCGGTCAGGTCGCGATCCGGTTAAGATCCCGACGTGCAGCATGCATTTTGTTTTTTGGCGGAGCATGCATTTTTTGGTCTTATTGTAGCCAATAGGATGACCTAAGATCGCAATTTGAGCCACTCACAGCGTCGTGCCAATAATTCACGGACGGAATTGACAATAAATGTTGTACATGTATTAATACTAACAACACCAGACAACCTGAGTGCGACTTCCATTAAAGCTTAACCTTCACGGTGCAAATTAAACGACATGAGCAGAGCACTCGCAGCGCTACGCCAGCGCGGCATGCTGGCCGCGCTAACGCACCAGGAAGCGGGCGCATCTATCGACAAGCTGTTGCAGAGCTCGCGTGCACCTGCGGTCTACTGCGGCTTCGATCCGACGGCTGACTCGCTGCATCTGGGTAATCTGCTGCAGGGCATTGCATTGCGCCACTTCCAGCGAGCAGGTGTGCGTCCCATTCTGCTTGTAGGTGGGGCCACGGGCATGATCGGAGACCCGAGCGGCAAGTCAGAGGAGCGTGTGCTGCTGTCAGACGACACGGTGCTGCACAACGCGCAGGAGATTGCCAAGGGACTGTCTGCCGTGCTGGACTTTGATGACCCCAAAACGGGCGCCATTATCTGCAATAATGCCGAGTGGCACACGCAGATGTCGGCGGTCACGTGGATGCGCGATATCGGCCGGTGCGTTGCGGCAACATGCTGTTGTGTGTATCGTTGCGGTGAGGATTGACGTTGTGTTCTCTCTCTCTCTCGCGCGCTCTCTCTCTCTCTCTCTCTTGGTGAAGTCATTTTCGTGTGAACGCGATGCTGCAGCGTGAAAGTGTGAAGAAACGTCTAGAGACAGACCAGGGTATCAGTTTTCTCGAGTTTTCGTACCAGCTCTTCCAGGCCTACGACTTCCTGCATCTGTACAGGAACTATGGCTGTGTGGCACAGATTGGAGGCAGCGATCAGTGGGGTAACATTGCTTCGGGCATTGAACTTGTTCGCAAGAGCACGGGCGAGGTGAAGCACAGCATCTTTATGCCTCAATTTTGCTGTGTAGGCTCACCTGTATGCAATGACAGGGTGTGTTTGGAGCGACGTTGGCACTGCTGACGACGGCAACTGGTGAGAAATACGGCAAGTCCGCTGGCAATGCCATTTGGCTGGATTCAGAGAAGACGTCCGTCGTAAGCGTAGACTCTTTATGGAGATACCACTGGTGCAGGGGGAGGGTGTCACTAAATTTATATTTTGTGGATCTTTAGTTTGACTTTTATCAGTTTTTCCTGCGCTCCGATGATCGTGATGTCGAAAAACTGCTCAATAGCTTCACGTTCCGAGAAGTGGATGAGATCCATGGCATCATTGCTGAGCATGAGAAGGCCCCCGAGAAGCGTGCTGCCCAGAAGGTTCTGGCGGAGGAGATCACTGTGATGATGCACGGCCAAGAGGGCCTGAAGGCTGCGTTGGATGCTACCGAGATGCTCTTCGGGAAGAAGACCGGCCCTCTGACCTCTGAAGAAATGCTTTGCATGGCAGGTGACGCACCCATGACAGTTCTTTCGCGTGCTGATGTCATCAACCAGTCCTTGGTGGACCTTGCTGTGCGAATAGGCGCGACAAAGTCGAAAGGTGAGCCTCTTGTATTTTATCCGGGAGGTTTAGGGGGATCTGACTTTGTCTTCATTGTGCACGTCTAGCTGAGTGTCGGCGTCTGATCAAGAGTGGTGGCGTTTACCTTAATAACGAACGCGTAGAGTCCGCGGCTTTGCGTATCGGGAAATCGAATCTTCTCGATGACAAGGTATTGGTGGTTCGCGTTGGTCGGCGAAACAACTTCATCGTCCAGGCGGAATAAAGCAAGCACTTTGGCAATTGGTCTCAAATGGTTCGTATCTCGATCGTCATGGACACATTAAAGCAATCGAGGGCATAGCGGTACCTTCATCGCAGTATTTGTGTTGCTGACTCAAACATGTTTTAGCTTACTTAAGTACTTGAAATGTCTCCTATTAATCGCAGTGACGTGTGTTGTGCGCGAAGGAGCATGAGCAAGATGTCAGCAGCGCGCACTGCCCCCACAATCAAACCATCTTGACGTTGGATGATTATGCGTATTTTTCTTTTGTTGATCATTTCTCGAATCACTTTTGCTATGGAAGTATAAAGCAGGCAGGTGGCATAATCGATGCATTTCCAGTCATAGCTCGTAGAAGAGGACCTGTTTCCTCGGCGTTTTCGCAAACAACGGAGAACGATACAGGGAACAAGTCCCGGAATGTGGTGGCACTGGGGTAATGAATGAACGAGGACAAATAGTTAGCAATTCGGGATTACCAAACTTGCGGCCTTGTGATAATTATGCACCTGAGCACCCTTCTCCCGGCATTATCGGCACTCGTTTCCACCATAAGACTTGATAAGTTCCGCGATGCCATCTCCACCAGACCCTCACACACTGACGCAGAAGTGGCCACCGAATTAGTTTTTGCTGGAGCGTAAACAAAATGGTCGAAGGCTACTAAAGCACAACATTCTTGCCCCTCTGTATTCATGACAACTAATGGTGTTAGTAGACAATTTCTTGTAAATGACATGCAATCTTACTCAGGAGAGTCAAGTCTTCGTCGAGCCACGTCAGCATGTCGTGGACAGTCAAACACCCCAGTACAGCATTGGGGGGATGCGCTGTAATTCAGAGCCACAGCCACGGATCTTTCACCACAAGCAAAACGCAGCAACACGCTGAAAAGTGCTTCATCATCCCGAACGATCCCCACCAACGGAGCTCGCTCTGTGAAGTAAAAGTACACGACATCACCTAGTGGTGCTGTACCAAAGTGTCTGATGGCTTCTTCTGCGCGTGTTCGAGTGTGCTCGTACGGTTTGGCCCTTGGTGGCTGGAAACCGGGAGCTAGAAAGTGAAGAAAGTATCTGAAACAAGTTGAGAGGTCCAAATCTAAAAACTCATCGAACCTACTGGAGCAACTGTTCTGTGGAAACATGTCCAAGCAGTCGGCCAGCTTTTGACCGCGTGGAGTCTGAAGATTCAACGACTAAAACGCTTTGGGTGCCAACTCGAACCATCTTTTCCAGCACATGAGCGCAGGTTTCGTTTGATCGTATTTGGGATAGTTCGGTTTTTTGCCAAAAGCTACCGTAGCACACTGCCTGCTAAATAAAAAAGGCAGTCGTTATATCACCCGAATGGCAACATGCTTTAGGATTTGCACACACCCGAGTGCGCCCGAATGTGTCCGAGCTACCCGAATGGGGGCATTCGATGTATACATGCGAATCATGTATAGCTAGATAAATAGTTCAGTGAAGTGTAGCCAAGTTCAACGACATCCCAGGCAGTGTCAGAGTAAAATGCATCAGAAATGTAAAGTCTCATATTATGCCGAAGAAACTTACACAGACATACAGAGGTACCGGTATCGTAGAAGCTGCAGCCTTTGCTTGTTCACATATCCCACGTCAGAAGCTCCCGTAAAGGCTTCGAATGCCAAGAGAACGTAAATGCCACAATTGTAGTTGTCGGTCTGGATACCAATGCTCGATACGTACGACTGGTGATGATACCTATCCTTCGGTATCGGTAGGACCCCCACCAACTTGTGCGCGATAGCTCGGACGCTGGCCGCATAGGATGATGACATCGGGTCGTAAGTGTATATGCTTTCGGTCGATAGGTCGATCATGATAGCGCACCAATGATTTCCATTACAATTGATGGGAACGAGCACCTTTTCGTCCGAAACCCCGGCGAAAAGAGACGCAAGGCCCTCCATGTCTGTAGTGTTTTTCCCGTTGACAACTACACCGACGTGGCTCGAATCAATGGTGACCACCCCTGGTGTGGACGCAAACATCACGTTCATCACCGCATACATGCACTCGTCCCCGAGTGACCCTCTGGCAGCAAGGTCTAGTAGATGTATCTGTGCTCCAATGTTAGTCTTACTAGCCTTATTTCGAGGTAGTACAGTGACAAGATGACGTACCGAGTCAGAGCGAATCTGTAGCTGCTTAAGCTTGCTTGGTATCTCATGGTCTGCTTCAATAGTGTAGTCCGGGCTAAGCGGCTGGGTGAAGTCGATTCGGCTGATCCAGTTCAGCGTTTTGTCAATAGAGTCGAAGATTGTAATTGCGTGATGCCAACCTTTCATCATTCGTAATGTCGTTGTTGAGAACACACCCAGACTAATAATCTCGACCGATACGTCTCTCTCCGATAATCCAGACGTTTTGCGTTGAAGCGCGGAAACCTTCGCGTCACACTTTCTGAGTATGTCTTTGGAAAGCACTCGAGTCAGCAAACTTGAGTCTGTCAGCGTCTTGCCTGCAGGGAGTTTGCTCGTCTGTCGGGCCACTGGGGGTTTAGGCTTAGTCCCAAATGTATACACTTGTAGTCGTCGAGCAAGTTCAGCGGAGGATGAATAGGTAGCGTTCGTGGAAAGGCTTTCGTGAACGGACCGCAAGCTTATTTGCAAGTCAAACAGCGTTGAATCTGCCTCTACACTCCGAATCAGCCTGTTTCGGTTTGCTTTCTTTGCTTTTGGCGTGACTTTAGGTCTCCCTCGTTGACGCACTGGACTCGCAATTTCGAACTCCACATCTCTGTCTTCAATATCAACTGTAGATAATCTGGATGTAGTCGCCTGTTGATCTCCTTCACTGGCTTGAGCTACTGATGGTGTTTCATTGACTGGTTTTGATAGTGCAGAAATGCTATGTTCGGGCACAATCGGTCTCGGTTCAGGCACAGTTGGTCTCATATTAACCGCGGTTGTAGGTGGTTCCGGTTCACTTGGTTCTTGGATACATGCACTTGTTTTCGGGGCAGTCGATTTCGATACACTCGCAGCTTGCTCGGGATGATCAACCTTAAATCGGGCACAATCGGTCCTGCTTCGAGCACGGTTGGTCTTGATTCGGGCAAAGTTGGTCTTGGTTGGGGCACAGTTGGGCATATGTCGGCTAGATCGTGAGTGTTGGCCTCCTCTGTGACACAGGAGGTCCTAGTCTTACTGCAATGATCGCCCACGGCAAGCAAGCTCTCTTCGGTATGCTCAATATCAGCTTGACCAAACTCACAGTCGCCACAATCATCCACATCGTCACCCGCACCTGTGGTCTTTGAAACCAGGATGGTAGGTCGTTCCGTTTCGGTTTGAAGAAGCCTCTCAAACTCCTTGTGCTTTATGATACGAGACACCGATTGGAGAAACTTCATTGCAAGCTGGTAGTCCTTCATCCCGAATCCGGCCATTGTGTCACTGATAGAGCTAGCTATCAAGTTTGCCTCCCGATATTTTCGGTTAGAGTCCCATGTGGAGCTCGCGTTTTCAGGGGCAGATACAATGGCAAACTTGGCACGAGGAAGTTCAGCCAGGTTGACAGCGGATCGGACCGTAGTTAGTAGCCACCGCTCGTTTAGCAATTGAGTCGGGATTACAGATTCCATCTTCATGTCTTTCCGTATGAAGAACACATGCCGGCAAGGAAGTAAGCGCGTCGCCATGAAGAGGCATGAGCACGTCCAACGATCTATGCCAGATTTATTAACGTTAGTACCGATAATTGAGACAATAGTACCCGCAATGCCCGAACAAACCCGAACGAACCCGAGCAGAAGTAAAACTTGAAGCCGTATCTTACCTGGGCTTTGCAGTCCGATAACCGGGTCTCTTGACGTGGGCGCTTGCTGTTTCCCTTCGACTTGTACTTGCCGAAGCAAGTACAGACTAACGTCTTCGCGTAGTATTTCCATTCGGACGGGATTTCAGGTGCTTTAGAGTTCTTGTTTCGGATGTCTGTGTTACGACGCTCAACGGTCGTGTTTGTACGAACACGGAAGACCTTCATAGCACACAATGGGATCAGCAAAGAAGCCTATTGCAGTGTAAATCCACTTTACCTGGTAAGATGCGGCAAAATACCGGTCTAAATACGAGTGGAAAGCGTCCCACGATGTGAAGTGGTGCTTGTCGGGCACAGCCAGCGTTACATTGATAGACTCAGAGTCGTCGGTGTTGGTCCAGTCGCTGGAGCGGCTGCTGTTGTCGCCAGATTCCATCGGGAGCGATTCGTCGACCAATTCCTCTTCGCTGGACTCGACCGAGACGTTGGATGCGTCATCATCGCTTCGTGACCCTGATCCACGACGTTTTTGAGACGTCCGCGCCCTTAGCTCCATCTACAACGTTTGCGCCGATCGATTCTTGCCCTGTGGCTGACCCACGCTCGGCAGCACGCGCAGATTCGTGGCGATCGTCCAGCAGTATTCAGACCCCGAGGCGGGAAAAATGTGTGGTCGCCCCCCTTTACTATACGGTATACTTTGTCCGGAAAGGGGTATTTATCTGAGGAGGTTTAGGGTCGACTCGACTCAGATTTGGCAGATTTTCATTCAAGCAAATGAATCACTCTCAATTTAAAAAGAAGGATTTGTACATATTTAAAGAGTGATTACCCACCATCTTCCTCATGAGCTTCTTGTGGATGGTACATTCTACTAGCGAAGCATAAAATTGTAAGATTTTCATATGATATCACAACAGAGCAGTTTTAACCCTACATGGGCCAAAACGACAAGCGCACCTCGGCGAAATTGGTGTCTGGGTCGAGGTTCCATGCCCAGAGCACCCGAAAAACTGTGCTTTTCCCAAGGCGCGTCGCCTCTTTAGTTCGATCGCGCGAGTCCCACCCTCCACTTCTGCCTGCTTTGGCCTCGGCGACGAAATAACCATATACATTGCAAACTAGGGTTTTCTCGCCCGGACTGAGCTGGTGTCTGCGTTGCACTGCGCTTCCTGAAATGAAAAAGATGAAGAGTCTTAATTTATGGAAGAA